ATGGAGGTTCCTCAATAAACTAAAAATAGAATTATCATATGCTCTAGCAATCCTGCTTCTGGATAAATATTCAAAATTTAGAATTAGTATGCTGGGGCTTGGTGTTTAACTCAGTGGTAGAGTACTTGCCTAGCATGTATGGGGCTCTAGGTTCAATTCCCCAGTACCACAAAAATAATATGTTGAAAAGAGATATGTTCTTCCACGTTATTGCAACATTACTCATGATAGTCAATTTATGGAATCAACCTAGGTACCCTATCAATTGGATGAATGGATGAAAATAATGCATGCAATCACAATAGAATAGTACTCATTCTTCCAAAAAAGACAATCCTGACATTTGCAAATATATATATATAAATCTGGAGGACATCATGCTAAGTTAAATAAGTCAGGCCCATGAAGAAAAATATCTTATTTACTCATTAGTAGGATACTTACTCTTCTTGAGTGTATAGGGAACATGTCCATGATTAACAAAAATACCTTATTTACTCATTAGTAGGATACTTACTCTTCTTAAGTGTTTAGGGAACATGTCCATGATTTTATGTTGTTCAGTCATAAAAAGTCTCAATAAATTTTAAAGGACAGATAGCACACAAAATATGGTCTCAAATTACAGTGGAATGAAATTAGAAAGCAGTGGCAGGTAGAAATTTAGGAAATTCACAAATATGTGGAAATTAACCAACAGATTCTAGATTTTTATTCTTTTTAGAAACATATGTCAGTAGAATGTATTTTGACATATTATACATACAAGGAGTGTAACTTATTTTAATTAGGATCCCAGTCTTGTGGATGCACACAATGGTGAGATTCTTCAACAGATTCTAAATAGCCAATGATTCAAAGAAGAAATCACAGGGGACATTATAAAATACTCTGAAATAAATGAGAGTGAAAATACAATATACTAAAACTACAGTTTGCAATAAAAGATGTTTATGGGGGAAATTATAGCTGAAAATACCTATATTTTTAAAATACCTCAAAATTGTAAAAAGAAAGAACTCAAACTTCCACCTAAGAACCTTGGAAAAGGAGAGCACAGAAAACTCAAAGCAAATGCAAGGGAATTAGAATAGATTAGAGGAAGCAGAGCAGGGGGAGAAAGGAGGGAAAGGAAAGAGGAAGGACTGGGGACTGAAATGGAGCAAATTATATTCCACACATGCATGATTATGTCAATGAACTCCACTATTATGTATAACAGTAGTGCAGTAATACATTTTAAAAGGGAATAAGAAGATTGAAGTGGAAATAAATGAAAGTAGAAAAATGACAATAGAAAAAAATCAACTGAAACAAAAAGTGGAGCTTTGAAAAGATCAAACAAATTGGCAAACCTTTAGCTAGACTGATCCAGAAAAAAAGAGGGAGGATTGAAGTTACCAAAATCAGGAATAATAGGAAATTATAATATACAGGGGGAAAGAGATTATAAGAGACTATTATGAACAATTTTAAGCCAACAAATTAGAAAATGTAGATGGAATGGAAAAATTAGAAGATACACAGAAACTTCCAGAACTGACAGGAAGAAATAGAAAACCTGATTAGGCCTGTAACAATAAATAAAGTCAGTAATCAAAAGCTTTACACAAAGAGTTCCTGAACCAGATGATATCACTGATGAACTCTACCAAGCATTTAAAAAAATTAACAGCAATACTTGACAAATTCACTCAAAAAATAGAGGAGCAGGTACCACTTATGAACTCCTTCTATGAGACCATAACTACCTTGTTGAAAAAAACAGACAAGGAAATAAGACTATATACCAATTTCTCTTATGAATATAGATGTAAAACTCAACAAAATATTAGCAAATCACTCCAGTAACACATAAAAATATTATTTATCATGGTCAAGTAGGATTTATCCCTGGAATGTATGTTGATTCAACACACAAAAATCAATCAATATGGTATACCTTGCTTACCAAATAAAGAACAAAACACATAACAATATCAATAAATGCAGAAAAACATTTTACAAAATCTAGACAGTGTTTCATGATAAAAACACTGAACAAATTAGAAGTAATATGAAAATTCTTCAACCTGAAAAAGCCATACAGCTAACTTCATATTTAATAGTGAAATATTAAAAATTTCCCCTCGTCAGAGTAGGAACAAAACAATGATTTTTGCTCTCACTGCTTCTGTTTGACATCACATGGGAGGTTCTACCCATGGCATTTGGGAAAGAAAATGAAGTGGAAGTATTCCTAAAATTGTTCTACATATTCAACATAATCCCTATTAAAATCCTAGCTTGCTTTTCTGGAGAATTAGCAAACCAACTCTAAAGTTCATATGAAAATTCAAGAAGCATCCCAGAGTAGCCAAATCAATCTTGAGAAAAAAGAGCAAAGTTGAAGAAGTCAACCTTCCTGATTTTAAAGAAGTATTCTAAGTTCAAAATTAGATATTTGAATATTTTGATAAATTAAATATATGAATATTATCTTTTCATTTAAGATATGCCAGAAGAAATTAATAGAAATTGTTTTACATTCTACCACAAATTTCTCAAATCAAACTCTATTCAATTTTCTCCTTCCTACACTGGCATTTTCATGAGTGCAATTTAAAAAATGTATTTACATTGGGAAAGTTAATCAATATTAAAATTTAGTTTGCTTTCACCAATGTGTGCCAATGTTTTCTTTATAGATATTTCATTCAAATGGCCACTGATGGATCTAATCTTATCTATCTTCACCTGAACATTCCAAAAGATAATTCTATCTATAATATTTTATAACAAATTTATCAAACCATTGATGTTAAATATTTATTATAGTTATCTTAATGTTTTGAAATAATAGTATTGGAACTATGATTTAAGGAACTAATAATGCTAGTTAAAATCTAATACCTAGGGCCTTGGGGAATAGCTCAGTGACAGAGTGCTCACAAGCACAAGTCCCTGGGCTTGATCCCCGGAACCACACATAAACGCACATGAACACACATTCATAAATTTGTTTTACTAATGTAGTTGTCTTTCTCTCAACAATTAATGCTTAATCTTTTTCTACTTTTCCCATTTAAGTTAAGAAAAACAACCCATAAGCCATCAAGAAGTTTAAAATCATTCTCTTGTTTTTTTAAAAAAATAGACTATTCAATGAAGTTAAGGTATTTGCCAGTAAAGGGATAAAACTGGAGACCATTATGCTAAGTGAAAAAAGCCAGATCCTGAAAGTCAAAGGTCAAATCTTTTCTCTGAAATGTGAAAGCTAGTCTGAAATCTGGAAGAAAGAAATGGTGGTGGGAGGCAATTCCATCAAAATAGAAGAATGGTGAAGTAGAGAAAGGAAACTGAGGTAGAAGAAGGAGGGACAGGATAAAAGAAGAATGATGGAATGTATCTGACCTAACTTTCTTATGTACATATGTGAATACACCACAGTGAATCTCACCTTTATGTACAAAGCACTAATTAAAAAAAACTATAGTAGAAAGATCAATAGAGTAGAGAAAAAGAAGGATGGAGGAGAGGAGGGAAAGGGGAATCCCTGGGGACTGAATTAGAGAAAATTATAATCTACGCTTTTATAACTATGTCAAAATGAATCCTAATGTCATGTATAACTAAAAAGAACAAATAAAAATAGGCTACTCAAAACTTAAATATGTGGGTTTAATATTTTGAACTTTAACTACTTGTATTAAAATTTCTTCAAAAAGATTTTTATCTTCAATGATTTTCAAAGTTCTTGCTTTAACACAAGAAAAGTGTTAAAGATGCTACTTAAGTTATATTTTTATGATTAGTCTGACCACCAATTATACAAATAGTCATAAGAATCATTCAGAATGGATAATTCACCTTACCTGACTGGGGTGTAATGTTTTAGGTGGTTATTCTTTATATCATTAATTTCTCCTTCAGGTGGGTATAATAGCTTTTTTCCTGATAAGTTTCACAGTTTGAGGGAACAATTCATGACATAATATGCTAGGCCATACTTCTAGCCCTTCTTGATTTTACTAGACTTTACAAAGAACTTAACAAAGTTTAAAAATATGAAGGTATTTTCACCAGTATTTAAGGTTATAGGTAATTCATTACATATGTAATTCTTATTTTTCTCACCTGATTAAATATATCAAGATAAATATTGAGCATTCATTCTCCTTCCAATTTCAAAGATGGATAAGCATCTTTCTTTGCTATTAACTGTCTCTAAAGAGAGGTAAAGCATTTGAAAGGTTCTAATGATAACTGAAAACTTGAATACAAATATATTTCACCCAGGATGTCCATGTCACTAAGGCAAGGCTGATGTTTGATCTACTGTACTTTTTTTTCCACAAAGTTGTTCATCTCTCCAATTCCAGTTAGATTCTAATTGTGTGTATTCTAATGCCATTTGCCTTATTTCTAGATTTAGTGTGATTTTATGCTGTGAATGACTCAGTACAAGATACCTATTACTCAACTGTATTACTATTTGCATGCCAGTGTGAAAAAAATAGAACTTATCTTTGAAATATAGTCCTTCTTTAGAATCATATGATACAAACATCTTAAATCTTCACATCACCACAAAGTCCTCAGGTTATTGGAAATAAACAGATATAAATATTATGAATTAAATTGCCATTTTTATAAGAACTTATTTCCCCTGGCTAGATTACACAAAAGGTGAAATGAAGTTATTTGAAACCACACTGATGTGAGAGGAAGACTGAGATATCCTATTGTTTTATGCTCACAATTATCCTAGTTCGTGCTCTATAGAGAAAAAACACTATCAATTTTAGAATTTAAAGGAATGACAAAAAAAACCACAACACTTTACTTTTTAAAAAATGAATTTCATTTGGAAACTTCCCTAAGGTGTTCTGACTTGAATATTTCTCAATCAAGACACAGGGTGGCGCTGCAGGCTAAGAATGTGAATACAAAAAGCGCCCTAAAAAAGCTCGCGATTCTTCGTATTGTAAAACGTAATGTTAAATAAATCAACGTGTAAGAAGCTTTGCAAAAAATACGGAGTTACCAGGAGGTTTGGACAGAGATATTCTAAATCAATTTGAGACTACAAACAACTTTGTAAGGATTCCTGCACGCAAGAAATTAGAACTGAAGGTCTCAAGTTTTTCTGTGATTGGTGAAGGGATTGGATGTAAGCAATCCGACTCCAACATGGAGAAGCTGGAAAGAATTCAACCAAACAGGCAAGTGATGGTCTTCATTTTTATGGTGTTCATGTCTCAGGGTCGCACGGAGCCTCTTCGTTATTTTATACAGGAGGAAACAGAGAGCCGCTCCTTTGTAGCCCATCTGACCAAGGACCTGGGCCTGGGAACTGGGGAACTGGCTGCCCGGTCTGCTCGAGTTGTGTCTGATGATGACAAACAGCATTTGCTGTTGGATCCTCAGACTGGAGATTTGCTTCTCAGGGAGACATTAGACCGGGAAGAGCTGTGTGGCCCTATTGAACAGTGTGTACTGTATTTCCATGTCTTGCTGGAAATGCCAGTGCAAATTTTTCAGGGAGAATTATGGATCCAGGACATAAATGACCACTCTCCAGCATTCACTGATGGGGAAGTGCTCTTGAAAATACCAGAAAACAGCCAGCCAGGGACTCTATTTCCATTGAAAGTAGCCCAGGATTTGGATGTGGGTAGCAATGGGCTTCAAAAATACACCATCAGTCCCAATTCTCATTTTCATGTCCTTACACGAAATTACAGTGAGGGCAAGAAATACCCAGACCTGGTACAAGACAAAGCCCTGGATAGAGAGGAGCAGCCTGAATTCAGCTTAACCCTCATGGCTCTGGATGGTGGCTCTCCACCTAGATCTGGCACAGTCACAGTTCGAATCCTGATCATGGACGTCAATGACAATGCTCCCGAGTTTGTGCATACTCCATATGAGGTGCAGGTCCTGGAGAACAGCCCCTTAGATTCCCCAATCCTCAGCGTCTTAGCTAGGGATGCAGATGCTGGAAATTTTGGGAGTGTTTCCTATAGCTTGTTCCAACCATCTGATGAGATTAAACAAACTTTCTCAATAAATGAAATCACAGGGGAAATCCGACTGAGGAAGAAATTGGATTTTGAAAAAATTAAATCTTATCACGTGGAAATTGAGGCTATAGATGGAGGAGGCCTTTCTGGAAAAGGCACTGTGTTTATAGAGGTGGTGGACGTGAATGACAATGCCCCAGAACTTACCATATCGTCACTCGCCAGCTCCATCCCAGAAAATGCTCCTGAGACCTTGGTTTCTATCTTCCGAGTTCGAGATAGAGATTCTGGAGACAATGGAAAGATGACTTGCTYTATTCCAGATAATGTGCCCTTCATTCTAAAACCGACATTCAAGAACTTTTACACCCTGGTGACAGAGAGCCCGCTGGACAGAGAGAGCAGAGCAG